AAATACTCATTTAGCTCTATTACATTGTTATGTCCGTTAGTCCTGTTGGACGTGCAAAAAGTGAACTATATAGAACACCCAATGTACTCTAAAATAGAACTGAATGTAACAAATAGTGTACTCTAGAATATCCGTATCATTGAAATGTACAAGGTAGGTAATTCCCGAGTCTGTGTAGACGATACGATGCGCTGTGGAGCTCGTAGCGCCCATCCATGGCCCATCAAACCGCTCCGACGGGAGTTGTCGCGACACACACAATCTGCTGACGCAGCTCGCGCCATGTTGCGGTGCATACTTACTCGGTCTTACTTAGACTTGACATTTTTAAACTTCACCACATTCTTGAACAGATTCCTATACTCTGCACCGCCATGCACCATGAACTAAACTCATGTGTTACATCGTGAAAAAATTCAATGCTGTGATGATACGAGCAGGGTACAATGCTCTGAAGTTGTATGTGCACTTGTACAGGCTAAATATCTGATTTATATTCTTCCATAGTACTCCGTAATCAGCCAAGTAGCAATATGTCGGAATAGACACAAAGTGTCGCGACATTCAGTCAAACATTGAGCAGACTGCTGACAGACGAGACCCGGGGTTTGTATCAACGACATGTCACTTTCAATCCATCTCCTTCAAATATATGAATTCATTCTGACTCTATTGAAATCGCAAACAATACAAATCATTCCCTTTTCAGTTTGTTTTTTGCCGTTTCCCTTTTTCCATTAAAAGTAGCAAAACTGTTGTGAATATTCACCACTTACACCACTTCTCAAAAAAAATATTTTCCATTGAAAACCATGTCACGTTTAATTCTTCCTAATTCACTTGGTACAGTTACAGTTACTTATCAATTTTAATCTCCGTATTATATCTAACAGCATACGTACCAGTGTCACTCCTGTGGACATTTTGAATAGCGCCAATGAGTTTCATAAGCCACAACGAGATCCTTAAATTATCCTCAAGTTGCATAAATGTATTATAACCACAAAGCTCGTTGTGTACCTGCACCCGATGTATATATCAGGTTTAGTAGTGACGTCCCGGTACAGTGGCGGCCGAGTCACCTCGCCACCATTACTCACAGTTTACAAAACACCGCGCATTGTTAACTAACTATAAATTAAAGTTGTCGACGAAGCTTTTAACATAAACCTACAATTTGTTGCTGTAACGATATCAGTTAATGCTTGGATTACATTAGCAACAAATTTGTTCGTATGTTTGGTAATTAAAACTATGTTACGGCATTATTTGTGTGGGTGGCGGCCTGGCGGGGTCTGACAGACACTAACAGCTAGTGAAAAATGAAAAGTCTACTTATCCTTCCTTATTTCGAACTCAGGGTAATTTATTTCGCCAACGCAGAAATGAATTATTTGCTAAAACGCAGAATAATGAGAACAGTATCATCAAGCTGCATGTATACGGACGTGTCACTGCCTGCCTGCCGGGCACGGTGCGCGGCGCGGCGCGGCGCGACGCGGCTGTACAACGGACAGCAGCGCGACACTGCTCTTTGTATCGCCGTCACCAATGCCACCGATGTAATCATTCAATTTCCTGACTACATACCAGTTATTCTAGTCATTTATATGTATACACATAGTTACTAGATGACAGGTATTATAGTTGCACTAGTTAATATGTTATCTCTGAATTAATTTCCACTTCTGTGGACAGTCAAGTGTCAACATGATTTACCACCGGAAATATTGAAACGAGTGAAATTCTAAATATGTTTTTAAGACCCATCCCCCCAGGTTTTAGCCTACGGTCTAGTTAACCAGGAAGTGATGAACGCTGAACAGAGAACCTAATAGCACATTACTCGACTCTGTAGACTATGCCTGCTCATTGTGCGCTGCGGGAACATCTAATGAACATTATTTACATTGTTTCTTCTTAGTAATCAAAAAGTTTGCCTTCCGTGGTTGAATATTGACAACTGTTTATTCCCCTGTAGAATTAAGGAATATGTTCGATTTTAGAAAATCTGACAATACTTTTCCTAATCCATAAAACATGATACAGTCAGTTTTTATAACTTGTGCGAGTTTCTAACACAATAGTCTCAGTAGAACAAGTAGTGAGAGGAAATAAGTAGATTCACAACAATACATCGGCACCGGGTCGCTCGCAGCCGGACACGGTGACACCGGCCGCCGGACGCCGGACCGGACACTAGCGGCGCGCGGCGCGGGGCGACCAACAGTTATCGAGTTTACCTTTATTTTATTAACTTTTAAGTAATCATCTGTTGAGATGTGGGCACTAAATATTTTGTTTTACTGTTTGTACGTTGATTCGTCAGAGATGGTTAATGCTCGCCGATGATAGTCCAATACTTACGTAGTTGCAGTAAACTTGTTTAAAATATGTACATTAATGACAATAGACTCCTCGCTCGCTCGCGGCGCTACCTCAGTACTGGAACAGTAAGTAATTGCTGAGACAAACTGTGCAACAAGTCGCGGCTTGTGGCGCGCGACGTGCAACAGCTTGTGGCGGGCGGCGCAATATAATGAACAAGTTACTGGCACACGCCGCGCGCCGCCTCGTGATACAACTGTCCAACTGTATTAAAGCTGTTGTTATAACGAACACGAAAATAACACAGAAACCTTTTACTAAGAACTGCAAACAATATTGCAGCCGAGTCTACAGGAATATTAAAAATAAATCTAGCAGCGTGCTCTGTTTCCAATTACAGTGTCGCATTTCATCATTCGAGAGTAGGTACAGGCAACCGCAGGCTGAGCTTTAGTCTGGATGAAAATGAGACGAGAGCTCAAGGCGGTGCGCGGCAACACTCGTCCCGACGCTATTTTTATTTAGTTCACAGATTATAAACACGGTTCTTTGAGTAATAGATATACTGCGCGCGGTTCCACGTCCGAGTCTCGTCGCTTCGCAAATACCGCGGCGGCGCGCGGCGGCGACTCGCTCACTAATTTGTTGACATTACACATCACCCCGACACGCGGCACCACCTGACACAATCTGTGACGTGATCGTAATTACATCACACGCGCGGATTTTTATCTTCAAAGGGAATGTTTTATGTTCTGTGAAATCTGAAAGTGATAATTACAAGAAAATAATTCGAACAGCTGACTTCAACGTCGTATAAAGTTAAAAACTCGTATTTAAATACGACTTCGTAACTAGAGACATGAAAAATAAAGCTGTTCTTTGAGTGCGCCGCCATTGTGGTGGAGAAACAATTATAGTCGGTTTCTGTCATTAGGGCGTGAACACATCACCTTCCCATTAGCAGTCAGATTACTGAAACTCGGAGCGATGTGTAACAATAGATCCGGATTGTCGGGCAAACGTGCAGGAGTCGAGCGTGACATATGGCGGGTCAGCGCGGGTCGGCGCAGGCTAGCGGCTCGTATTGGCCGGACCGATTTGTTCGACAAATGGCCCTCATTCGCAGCCATCCCTAATCTGTCGCTACGAATGTTCACGCCATTCCTAATGCTTAATGTCGGCTACTCGGCGTGCCACTCACACGCCACTTCCAACATGTGTACGATTCCAATTAATACGTGTTCACGACATTATGTCTGTGTGCCTTGTTAAACTTTAAAAGAAAGGACTACGTACTGAAACACCAAGTTTTCATAACAAATCTTTAGAAATACCCATGTCTCAATACACATGTCTCAATATACCTCTACATGTTTCCAGTTTGCAAAAGGTTGCCCTTTCATCAGTTGAAACTTAAATCATCAAATAACTTCATCGCAAGCGAACTTTCCATATCAGACATATGTATGCATGTATACATAGACAACAGTAGCAAATAATTATGTATTAGGTACTTAGTAATATTTGTTCAGGGAGCAACAGCAACGAGCTATGATCGTAAGTTATAGTAGCAAAGAGTAAAGTAGTGTGTGTCTGTGCGGGAACTCGCGGCTACTTACTGCTACTGAACAAGTGCGCGCTTTGTGGATACCTCCGGAGTCCGGCTGCCGGCGGCTACAAGCGGCCTGTTGCTTGTTTACAATAAAACAAATAAAACTTCAGCGAGCTGCGCAGCTTGTATCTCTTTTGTGTACCAACTGCGGGGAACAATGCACTATACAAAGGTGTAACTAATAAGAACCTGAACGATACTTACACAGATTTCTCCCACTTTATAAAGCAAGACATAATAGTTACTATTAATATATGGCTACTGTTTGAATTGACTTTGTTAACACGTAGAAAGTTGACAAAAGGCCCCTGCCGGGTGTGAACCCGGGTCCCGTGCTATTTACATCAAAGTGCACGTAAATAACCGCGCGTGTCGGCCGCGCTGACCTATCGCGCGGCCGCGGTGACATTTGCACACACCGACACTTTGAACGTAAGGTGCATGACGTCGTACCGTGTCGCCCACGAGTATTATTAGAGCAGGCACACCACGCCGCGATGTCACCCCAACTCATCTTATAAAGCTGATCAACTATCTCTTAACTCTTAGTTTCCCTATCCAAGGCTACACTACACACACTGCCTGTGTACGTGTTACAAAGTTTACGAGTGAAACTATGCGGGACAATCTTCTGCTGTAATGTGCCGCAGTTTAAGACCAGCGTCGTCGCCTGCCAGATAACTACTCAAGCCATAGTTCAGTGCATACAATGTCGTGTATCTTCTGTGGACTGTCCACCGAACTAAGAAATAATAGCTGGAGTTAAGCCGACCACCACGTATAGTCCACAAGATATACGTATACAGCTGTATACAAGCTGTTAATGGCCTGAATTACGTGTGCTAACCGTACCATGAATTTCTTCCAACTAATTAAATGTAACACATTAACTTGCTGCCTTTTTGAATACCAGATCATTTCGTGTTTCGGTCACATGGTTGTTGTCGTTCTTCATTGGTTTTCGAAAATACTCCGTAGAGGCAGAGAAGAGAAAAAATGTTCGTCCCCTGTCACGCAGCAATACCGTATATTAACATGTTTGTTTGTTTGTCGACAGATGCGTTACTGCGTGGCCGCCCTGTGGCTGTCCGCACTGACCACCCTCGCGGTGGCGGCGGCTGACGACGCCCACCACGAGCCGGCGCCGGCACAGGTACGCACCACCCCACACTACGTCACACACTACACACACACTACACACACACTAGTCCTGCCACACAGCAGACACTTTAGGACAGCTAACTGAGACGATAACAAATGTCATAGTAATGATTAGACCACTTCATCTTCATCAAAGTCGTCAACAAAAACTGCAGAAATATTTGGTGCATTACTTTGTGTATTGCAACCACACCAAGCAGTCAACAGTGTCACCTAGTCAAGCACAGAATGGCTGACACAAACTTGTTCCGGTACCATGTGTTGGACTGTTGTTATTATAGTTCCAAAACGATGTAAAAAGTGAAACAAATACAAACGCAAACACAACGTTTCAATTCCACGCTCCAGAATTTGTACTGTCGCAAGTATCTCCTAAAATATCTAACAGATTGCCTTTACTTTTTCATTCGTTTTCATTAGTTAGTTATATCATGAAGTAATTAAATACTGGGTCCATGGCCTATATACGTTGTGATCAAAACATGAATTCTGCCATTTTATGAAACGAAACCTCCGTAGTCAGTGTACACGAGTCTGACACTAGAAGTTGTAGTTTGTTAGAAGTCTCATTTGACCGGTGTTACCGAGAGCCGGCCGCCGGCAGACCTAGTTTAGGTAAAATGTTTCATACCTACGCAAGTTATCGCAATAACTAAGTACTCTACTTTTCTTAGCGGTGAAAAATCTGGCCATTAATAGCGCGTGTGCCGCTTTATCTCGACAACAACACAATTAAGATTCCGTGAAGCGACAAACGCGTTAATAGAATAATAAAACAACTTGTGGCGCAGCCGCGCGACGTTAATGTGGCGGCCAAGTTTTTTCAACGAACAATTCCCCCGAGCGAGCTTTGTTCCAGCCAATTGTACCAATACTACGAAAATATACTGTGAATAAACAAAGAGCTAATACAATTGCTTGCCTCATTGTACCTTTGAAATCTTTCAACGAGTGCTCTTTGCGTTAAAAGAAAACTGCTCAATGCAATTTATTTCCGCAACCGCTAGCGGGCACCCGCTGTACATATACGTGCATGTTCACAGACTGACAACGAAATAGAATTAAGCGAAGAGGAAAAGCGCGCCTGGTCCAGTCTGCACGGCGGCTGGGGCAAGCGAGGCTGGCAGGATATGAGCTCCGCCTGGGGCAAGCGCGCGTGGCAGGACCTCAACTCAGCATGGGGCAAACGGGGCTGGAATGACATGAGCTCAGCCTGGGGCAAGCGAGCATGGCAAGACCTCAACTCCGCCTGGGGCAAACGTGCATGGAGGGACATGTCACAGTCTCCTTGGGGTAAACGCGGCTGGCAAGATATGAGCTCTGCCTGGGGTAAGCGAGGCTGGAATGACATGAGCTCTGCCTGGGGCAAGCGAGGCTGGAATGACATGAGCTCCGCCTGGGGCAAGCGAGGCTGGAATGACATGAGCTCCGCGTGGGGCAAGCGAGGCTGGAACGACATGAGCTCTGCCTGGGGCAAGCGAGGACCTGTAAGTATAAATCATTTAATCTGAACTTGACTCGTTAGTGACTGTTATATCGATAACATATAACTTTACTATGTTCAGGAAAAGTGGGCCAACTTCCACGGATCCTGGGGCAAGCGCACCGCGGAGCCAGACTACGAAGAGATTGATGCGGCTATTGAACAACTGATCCCCATCCAACAGGTACATACCTCCTTCCCCTAGTTTACTCGAAGCACTCCCGTCACCGCAATGTTGTATCATCGACGTGTCTTCGAAAATCTTTTTATCCAACTTTCCACTCTTTGGTAAAATGTTTGTTAAAATTCATGCGTCGACTGATTATATTATTGCACAAAAATGTATTCAACATCTCGTAAAACTTTCCGAAACAGATCTCTAAAGTTAAGAAAGTTTACTGAATTACCATAGTTTATAGACTTTTCCGAGATTCAGATGTAAATGTTATGCAGGAACAATTCCGTCTCGTACCTTCTGTCAAACGACATGAGTGCTGTAACGTAGCATTAATGGATCTCTGTTCAAGCAAACACAGCTCCGTCGTGTGTCACTGTGATCAGTGTCGAGTTTCATGTAGTTGTATGTTGTGCAGCTGTCGGACAGCGAGCGAATGGAAGCGCCCGAGAAGAAGGCGTGGTCAGCACTGCACGGCGCGTGGGGCAAGCGACCTGTCAAGCAGGCCCAGTACAACAGCGGTATGTGTCCCTCCACACATGTAGACTACCGTCACAGGCAGCACCAGCCCAAGTTATTGCAGCCTATACATCTACGGCCAGAGTACAACAATCAATCACACCAATTATATCTGTGCAGATGAAATTACGACAGCTCATAAAAGTTTCCCAGTAAATCGTAGCCCCTAGTTAAATTCATCGCTGAAACAATAACAGACGGAGGTAATCGAGACGCAGCCTCGCTCGCGCTGACTGATAGGGCTCGCGTTAAGTTGATTGATTAACATCTTCAATGGCTGGTAGCAGCTTATCGGTGGACGGCGGCATCGGTTGGAACATTAACAACTGGAGTTAGCCAACGATAACAGTCGACTTTATTGATTCTCATTTCGCAGTCGAGTTAGGAATGAGCTCTTATTGTTATCGCGCTCCGCCAAACTTGTACAATTTTCGGTCCACAGTCCGCACTGGTGGGCACTGAGCCTCACTGTCTCGCTCGCAGTAAGCGACAGGCGACACTGCTCGGTATCGGTGTCGCGTTAATAAACTGCTCGTTCATTCCGTGTGTAATTTAAACTGCGCCCCACAAGCCCCTAATAAATTTGTAGCCAAGTTGGAATTTGTGCGAGCCGCCGACAGAATTAGATAATAATCCTCGCTCGCCTTTTTAAATTAAATAGCCCCCAAGTCAATATGGCCGCCGCCGACTCCCGACACCGCGCCGAGTTTTTCACGCGTTAAAATTCATAATTTCGTATTAACGATGGACGATTTAATGAAAAATATTCATTCGTGTGTATTTATGAGTATAGTAAACTGCTAAATTAATTTTGTGGATTTCAATTGAACACGAATTCAAATTGTGGCTATATAGTAGAATATTTATTACCTGCTGACTCATTCCGTTAAGAAGGCATCATAGAACACAACACTACTAGTTAGATAAATATGGTATGTGAATGTGAACCAACAGGATCGTATTACTGGAAGCGAGAACCAGCCTGGACTAACCTAAGAGGCATGTGGGGCAAGCGCTCGCCGCAGGTGGACGCGGACGCGGTAGACGATGACCACGGTAACGGCACGGAGCCACACTAGCTTGTCTCTCTCGCACTAGTGTCTCACTCTCAGCACTCGTCTATCTTCTGTCTCACCTAGCCATCTAGTTGTATTGTCCATGTAGTCAGTTCTAGAGCTTGTACTTCTAGTTGCCTCTATTCTGTCGCACTCTATTCTTGTTCATCGTCTCATACCTCTGTAGATGTCACCTCTCCTATATAGTAGCATTACACAGGCACACGTGAAAATCATGATACATGTTACTATACTGGTAGAAGTTTCCTTGTTCGAATATTACAGCCACCTCAACGTATTTCAATTTCCAGCCAAATTGACTAAGATCCAAGTTGGGAAACGATGTGTATTTTAGAGTATAAAGATATGTTTTGTGTGGGGCACGTGAAACTGAAGTGTCAGCAGTGGCCAACAGTCTCGGACGTGCAGTATTTGTGGTAACTTATTAATAAGTTGACATGGGAGCACACTTATTGTGTTCTCTGAGATCCATATCAAAGGCAACAAAGTTACTCAGCGGCCTGTTTTGCTAATCTCAGAATTATCCTCTGTAAAACTTCTACAAAGTATAATTTAGTTGGAAGACCGCGGTGTGCAGTGAAATCAATCGAACAAAGCGCGCAGTCAGCGAAGTGGGCGCGAGTTACGAGTTGAACCGTTTCTCAAAGCTAAGCAAACGATTACCGCGCATTACGTGGCTGTTGTAACAAGTATTTAATTAAATTAGCGGCCACTGCTCACTTCCACCTCACTAGTCGGCGCTCTGCGCTCTGCGCTGTAAACTGGAATGGATTCATCTATACATTTAACATTAATCTAGCTAATAGTATTTTAGTAATTTTTCGAATATTATTCAATACACGCTTTATACGACAATCTTGATCTACATTTGCACATTAACACTACGAATTGTTAACACTCACCAGTCATCTCTTGTTATATAACGACTGTAACTTTATTCGTAATGAATTATTTCCTGCTTGTAATGTTGTGTTTTTGTTTCCACAGAGAGCAGTGCGCGGGACGAGGCCTAGACTACTGGAAACTGTATCATATTATATAACTAAATAAAACTAATATTGCATAACAACTGTCATATCTTAGGTACATCTGTCTGTCTGTCTGTCCACGTCACTGTGTCTAGCGTGTCTTCATGTAACAGTGCTTCATAGGTCTCTTCATCAACTATAACGCTTGTTACAACATGTCCTACTACTGTTCCATAATGTTCATTGTTATTATTGTATAAATTGTTTTGTTAAATTGTTATCACAACTTGCTGAGTGTTAAAATATTTGTTTTGCTCTGTGGTACCATTTGAATGTTTGTGTTTTCATAAAATGAAATATGCGCGCCATTTTACTTGACAGCTTATTTTATTAATTGTAAGACCACAGAGTATATATATATCGACGTGTAATCCGTTTCACTTCCAACCAGTGAGACGCATTCTCGCCGACGGTGGAGTTCCTACCGCTTGCTACACTCGGCCGTGCCCCTGCACCGCGGGACGGCGCGCGCGGGACGCTACTCGTATTTGTTAGCTTCACATTTGTTGCGATTTGCAATGTTACGTTTCATTCCGCGTTAAATGTTTATGAGCAGTTGTGGAGTCCCGCGCTCCGCTACCAGATAATACTCGTACAAAATGTAGTCGTTACTATGTCACCTTCTAGTGTAAACGAGATTTTTATCAAATATATTTACATTAAGACATTTATTTTTACGACGTTTAATATATTGTGTGTGGGGCGGCGGGCGCTGTGCCGGCTGTCACTGCTCGTTACTCTAAGTGTCGTCATGATAACTGTATGTACTGCTAGTTAGTTAATTAATTGTATTTTACTAGTCAAGTTGATGTACATTGTACTATACGGCTTCACGAGAAGTTCACGTTTGTCCAATAAAAGTTTATTCGGAAGCCGAATCTAGTTTTATTTATTTTAACTCCTAACACGTGGAACCCTGCAACATTTATAACAGAGATTAGCCTGAATTCAAACAAAATCCACAAAGAGTAACAACACAAATGGAACCCCGTGGAGTAGATGAAATCCGCGCGGCACACAATAATATAGGAGATGTATTTGCCGTGGCTCCGCCCACTCCGCGGCCAGTGTAATAACATCAACAAACAACAGACAATCTGACAGAAAGCAACACTATACACACACACACCTATAGGTACGTACCTAAGTAGATATTTTGCAATACATTGAAGGAATTGTACGAGCGGTCACTCGGCAGCCGAATACGTAGCAATCAAAGCACACAACACACGGCGATAGTGTCGGCGGTGTATGGGCAAACATTGGCGCTAGGTGTGTGCACAGCGCTGAGTGATTGATACCGATATATGGCGCGCTCAATATTATAAGTGCTGTGTAACAGACCGACAGACCGACAACACACACACACACTGTATCAATCATTACAAACATATACATCATACACACGGACTGACTATACGAGTAGAGAGTCTACCGACCAGTGACCGCATGTTCCACGCACGACCAACTACACTAGTACCTACTAGTATTTATCAGTACAGATTATAAAGTAAGTATGAGAACAGGCAATGTAGGCACATGGACACATGGACACCCAACACAATATCAGACCTACATAGACAATTTACTCACACACTCACTTCAGTAAGTCACTTCAGTAAGTGGAGACATATAAATGAATAGATAGAATTGAAAGTATTAAAACAATGAATCCTACGTTTGATGGTGTGAGTGTTGAGCATTGATTGAACAGCAGTGTGGTGTGAGACAATATACAACACGTGGTGTGATGTGGACTCGGCAGTAAACCTGGGCAGGCGGAGCGTGACGGCGACACGGACAGCGTGCCACCACTCCGCGGGATTGTGCCGTCCACCGCCATGCACCGCGCTGGTAAGTGATTGTCGGTGGTTTATGGCCCCACGTCTATATTTACGACCTGACAACGTTATCGTTTACTTCTTACGTTGGTCGAGTGGGGACAAGGATGCGGTTCAAGGGTCAAGCAATACACAAAGACATAAAAACAAAGTTCTTCAGTGTATGGAAATAAAATCAATCGATAGTTAGTATATTAAAACCAACATAAATTTAAGGTACGCGAGTATCTGCGGAAGAAGCTAGCAGACTCAACACACACTTAGGCCTTGTATGTATTTATATATTTATATGTGTATGTATATGTATGTATATATGTTATATTATGTTATATATTTTCCTTCGTATATTTAGGTGTATATATGTCCATATATATGTCCATACTTATTTGTCTACTGTTCGTTTTGCATTACGGATATATTTTAATACTTCTTCCATTATATTTAATAAGTATATTATATTCTGTGATGTGTATAATTATATATGATGTTAATGTTAACTTTGATCTTAATGTTAATTATATGTAATACTTGTCAATGTATGATCAAAACTCACAAGTGGTAAATGTTTACACCTACTATTGTGTCTCTCTGCATCACCCTAAGGTTGACTGTTAGAGAATGCCACTAGGCATTAAGTCCGCCTTTGTATACCTACATGAAGTGTAAATAAATAAAAAAATAAATAAATAAATTGTACAAGTCAAAGGCAAAGTCAAATTAAAAATCATTTATTTCAATTAGACCAGGAAGGCGCTTTTGAACGTCAACAACAAAAAAATTTAGAAGTGAAGCTAGTTGAGCTAATCAAGAACTGTACCGTTCTTAAATAGGTTTCTGAACTTACTTAGACTACACTCCGACTACCTGCCGCACATAGAGACAAGTAATGATTAGTTTAACTATTCCTTCGTAACGATTTTGTTCCGGGAACAATTGGTAAGAAAGACTATATAGGTTAAATAACCATTAAATTAATCCGAGTGCTGCGGTAATACCAAACACTAAGAGGAAGTTGTTACTTGCTAAATTCTACTATTACATAAACACTATTTAGATGAAATGAAGTTATTACCAATGATCACCACCTTGCTAAGTAACACGGCACACTGTACAGCTGCGCACTTAGCATTACTTGCAAGTAATACCAAAATGAGTGCGTAATGACAATGTGGTTGCGGGTTCGGGTCCTACAGTTTTATAAGAAGTCTGATCGATCCAAAGAAAATTTTCGATATAGAAAGAAAGAAGAAAAAAGGAAAAATTGTTTATTCGCACGTAACAAATTAAAACAAGAAGAATACTTACAACAATAAATGGTAAAACTGTGCGGCGCAAAAGGACAAGTGCTCAGCTAAAATGCCGTGACCCGACAGCGATAACATGAGTCGCGGCGCTGATTTTCAGCACTAGCCCGTCACTGTAAATACTGTAATAATACAAAATAATACAATATGTTAAACGTTTACTTAGTATCATTATTGTCAGTAAACAAATGTCGAGTGGTTAAAAGAATTCATAACTACAGCTACAACTGGGCGCTCGGCCTTCCAGCACAGTGCAAACCTCTTTGTATTATAGTAACCTAATATTGTGCCAATTCGTTACCTAATATTCTGTGTTTAATTCGTCAGATAGCAATGAATCAATTAACTATTGTAGTTGTACAATGGCGTGTAATGATCAACGTAATGTTGACTACACAAGCACCGCTCGGCTGCCAGTAATGAGTGACTCCCGCCTCGTCATCTAGTTGCCGCCGTCTCGTCAGCACATCCCGCGCTAGGCACAGCTCAGCACTCCCTCGTATTATCGCGCAGGATTGGTCGCCAATGGGGCGGACAGGCGCGCGCCCGCTCTTGCGAGAAACTAAGTATTCACTTTTGTTCTACGTGACTACGAATAAAATTGATCTAATTATGATAAGTTGTCTTTTTGTAAAATTATGATCGACCACTTTATTATTGAAAGATTAGATATAAGATGAATTTAAATTAACTAAAGTAATGCTCATATATTATACGCAATTTCCTCTTTGTTGATACGTGGTATTCTTGCTACGCCGCGCCGTAGCCACCGTCATTGCTACGGTTGCTACGCTGCCGTAGCGGCTACGAACTCCATTTAAAATGTACAATACTTATTAGATTTTCTTTTTAATTTAGACCCGTGTTTGTTGGCTACCGGTTTCACTTATACTGGACATAAGTTTGTTGTCAGCTATACAAGTTTTTTATTGTATAATGTTGGCAAACATACTTTTAGATCACCTGTATGTAAGCAATAGGTCTTTTAAGAAGGCCTAAAGTCCTCGCCTTAATAATTTTATCTGTTATCAAAATATTCCTCTTGTATACCTCACCATGCTACATATAACTGGACTTGACATCACGTACTTACGTTCTGTGGACTGAGGTGTTACTGTTAGCATTACGACTTTACGACATCCACAATGAGATATAAATTAAAAAAGTTTTCACAGTCGAACTTTAAAATAAACGCTATAATGTTCCTTCATGCATTGCTGTTTGAGCTTCTTATTAGTGTAACTGCAGGCATGGAGATATAAACAGATATAACATCTGCTATTATGTGCATATTTGTGATGTAAATTTACGTATTTTTGTATTATCCTGTTGATGGTGGTCTGTGGTTCATTTCGTATTATTATACAACAAAAACAAACTATAATATGACGGACATTACCATCCACATTTATGCAAGTAATGATTCATCGTTTAATTTATTGCTGTGTCTATAATAGCTGTCGCTGTCATGATATATGTTTATTGTGGTGTTTTTGATATTTATGTAACCGTCACGGTGTATGCAGTTGTCATGAACAGACCACAATCAAATCAAACAATGGGAGATATGCGGGTCATTTACAAAGCCTGCAAATATACGTGTACTAGTTTTATTTCGACCAAGTATAATACATCAAAGACATGTATTATTAGAATAATAGTTAATTGTTAGAGCTACCGGTTCAAGACAATTCATAAAAAAAATTTAGGACTATTGAAAACTCATGAATTTCCATAAGTGATTGAACTAAAGTTTTGTAAACTGGCCCAGTATTAGGCTTACATTTATTCTGTTACCCCATACAATTACATCTTAATTATCTATTCATTTTGATATCTA